TCAAATACGCGATAATTTCCTACTAGTAGTAGTAGTAGTAGTAGTAGTAGGAGTAGTAGTAGTAGTAGCAGTAGTAGTAGTAGTCGTCGTAATAGTAGTAGTGGTAATAGTAGTAGTAGTCTCACTGGTTCTGAGTAGGGACTAGGGGAGTATGATCCCCATAAAATATAATCTACTACGAACCAGTAAGTAGTAGTAGCAGTACTAGCAGCAGCAGCAGCAGTAGGAAGAAGAGGAGAGCCCGTGCTGGCACGAGTACTGGCTACCGATAATATTGAAGGCCCTTGCAGCAATGATATACTACATACTATATCATACCATAACTCCATAACGTGCTACAACATGCTATAATCCACCACAACATACTATAACATGCTGTAGTATATTGTGAGCTATTGCAATATACTATAACATGCTATAACATACTATAACATATTATAATATACTATAATATATGCTATAGTGTACTGGAGTGGGCCATGGGCTTTTGTGAGATAATTTTCTGGATAAATGGGTAGCGCGAAGTCGCCACGAAGGTCGCACCTAAACTTACTGGGGCTTAGCAGGGAATATGGGAATATAGGGATTACAAAGAGATTATACTCTCTTATTTCCTACCGACCCCCAGTAAGTAAATTAGGCCGGCGGCTTTGAAGCCTACAGATGGGCAATCTAAGTTCTGCACAATGAAGTTTCTCAGGCAACCCATCTTGCTCTGGCGCATGGTAGAGCATCCCCGACAATAATTATTGGGGTATTTAGGTATCGCGTTTGGGACGGGGACGCTTTTTGGGCAAAATCAACTCATTTGATCGTTTAGTACTGATACATCCGGCCCATTTCGAGCGTTGCTCAGATCAAGAAAATGGCGCATGCTGCTCAGGTCAGTCGGCTAGTCACTTGAGACTATCCATGCACATCGTGGGAAGCGTGCCGTATGCTACCCATATTCTGCAGCTGATGCAACTCACACTGGTGACCTCCTGCACATGTGCCAGGTTCTGCGGTGAGGCCTTGGCTACAAGCCTACTGCAGTGTAGAGTGCAAGCAACATTCCCAGGAATTGCTCTCTTGAACCGATTTCGGCTACATGGGACACGTGGCTGACGCAGTAAAGTTGAAACTCCTGTGCAGAACTGCCATGACAATCATGACATGCATTGGCGCTGCTGCGTGGAAGCAAGACAGAAAGGTAGTGAGATGCAATGATCATCGTCAAAGGTAAGAGCTGGATCTGTGCACATCCGGTACCCAAGCGCCTGACTGCGGGCACCTCGGCGTGCGCTGCCTTTTCCTGTATGCAGACTCCGCCTTGACCCGACACCTCCATTGCACTGAAAGGTAGAGCAAAGGCGCCTGTGCTTGGTCCAAGGCCTGGCCAAGCGCAGCTGCAAGTGCTCAAAATTCGCAAATGTTGCAAGATGCTCTCCTCACCTCACCCGAGTGTTCTGGGTGGGGATCACCAGGCATAGCGCTGCTCGCAGCGGACAGTGGGCGGCACAAGCCCTATATGCTTTGTGTTCCTGGCGTTTACTTGAGGCTGTGTTTGCTCTTCTGCCCATGCACGTGGGGTTAGGAGCTGGAAGTGTCATTTGCTGAGGTCAGTAGTTGAGCAGACAGAGTCTGCAGGCTTGACTGAGGGTTGCTTGAAGTTGGGTTGGGACACCTGACTACAGCACCCTACATGGTCATCAGCTGGAGCCACACCCGAAGATAGTGCTTATGTTCAAACCAGCAGCGAATGAAACACAGACTGGACCAGTCTGTAACAAGTCGCCGCGTCGGAGCATGCACGTTGCTTGCTGGGCACTTCGCAACCATTAGGAGCCAGCGTCCAACGGAGTCTTGCATGAATGTGGCGCGCCATTTGCTCCGCAGTGTAGTAACTGCGCCGCAACCAGCCAGCAGATGTTCGCGAACAGTCGATTGGATATGATCTGTATGTATATATACATATAGGGAGAGGAAGAGTAGTTTCCATTCCGTTTTCCATGATACCCTTAGATAACTCTATATAACCCTATACATATTGACAACATGCTCAAAAAGGCCGGGCCAGGCAAACGGATGTACTTTGCTACCGTGCCGTAAGCCGAGGCAGACGCTCGCTGAGGAGAACTTGGATAGAACGTCTTACTGCTGGTAGCTGTTGGTTAGTAGGAAATAAGGGAATATGTATATATATATATACAGATATATATATATAGATGTAGATACATGTAGATAGGGGTTGTACAAGTATAATGGAAAAGACGACGGAAACTACTGCGTTGCAAAAGTGAATATTTTGGGGTCATTGCAGGGCATAAGATAATATGATCCCTGCATAATGCCTACACAATATATTCCCGGATTCCTCACTAAACCCCCAGTAAGATGTCTTGGTTGACAAGGCTTGAGTTCGACTCCGCTGTGTCCCTGAGAATTGAAGAAACCTCACCCTGAACCCTAAACCCGAAACTCCTAAACCCCTAAACCCCTAATCCCTAAACCCTAAGTGTTCTTTTCTCCGCTTGTCGAATTTCATCCCCTGGAAGTACACTCTCCCACCAAGGGGGGGTTTCCCAAAATTAAGGGTACCTTATTGGGGTCCCCATAGCCAGGACTATAGTATATTGGGGTCTATATTGGGAAGTTTCCCTAAATTACTGTTCCCAAAATGGGGGAAATTTATATAGGGCCCCGTATTATAATAGGAACCTAAATATAGGGCCCCGTATTAACAGTAATTTAGGACAATCCCCATTGGGGTTCCCTTATTTTGGGAAACTACCAAGGCAGGCTCGCAGGTTCGGTTCTGCTTTGGTGCGCAATTCACTTCTAAGGCTCTCGAACACATGAGCCTATTAGGGTCATATTGGGGTTCTATTGGAGTTATACAGGGATATATTGGGGTTGTTTAGGGATAATGGAGAATCAAATGGAAAAGAAAATGGAAAATGAAATGGAAAGTGTGATTATATTGGGGATTATAGGGGTTATATGTCTAAACTCCTAGTATCCCCCTTAATAAGCCCTG